ATTTGGATATTTTAATATTGGAATCTTTGAACCTTTAAATCTTTGAAGCTTTGAATTTTTAACTCTTTAAAACTTTGAATTTTTGAATCTTTGAGTCTTTGAATCTTTGAATCTTCAATTAATTCAATCTGAATTCCCGAGTTCGTTTCCCAAGATCCCAGATTAATACATACCGAAGCAACATGTACATTTCAAACACGTTCGGAACCGCGTGTAAAAGCGAACACGATAAAACACCGGGCAAATAAAATGAATTCCCATTAATTTTCTCCTCTGAGAAACAGGTCCCCGTCCCAGTCACGGAATAAACGAAGCGAATTCGAACCGTGCTCATCAAGATAACGCAGAACAAATCTATCGGAACACCTCGACACCTTCAAAACAGAAAACGAACGGAATGACTTTCTTCCAGACCGCGCTCGTGCACTTTCTCGCGTCGGTTTTACATAATCGTTTTCACAGTCTATTCAGCTCCCACATTTTTGCCGATTAATTGGAGCGCGCGGTTTAATCATATCCGAACAGCTAAACGCCAGTGAACGGCGCCGTTCGAATTCCCCGGTATCCAGCTTCCGTTCGGTGCTGCCTCGCGCAAATAACGTTGTCGTAACGAGAATGATCAAAGACAGAGTCGAACGGTTCCCCGACGACTTCAGTCCTCCGCCAAACTATCTGATTTCTATTACAATGAGCTGGGCATTACTTATTCCGCCGATGTAACGGTAACGAAACGTGATGACAATGTAAACAGACGTGACTCGATTAGCATAAGGTATTGTCTCGCAGCTGAAATTCCACGTGAAAGGCAGCCGGCACGGCGACAGGACTCCGCGTACTTTTATTATTTTCTCTCTGGCATTCCCGGACGTATTTTTGGCGATCGGATCAACCGTTTTAATTCAGTGTTTAACTTTTCCACAACAACATCCAATCCCATGTACCCTTCGATATTTTCCGCACGGAATTCGAACGGTCAGAAATGTAGTGTGTTTTGGATCCTGCTAAACTGGCGTACTCCATTGATTATTTCGATCTTTTACCACTGAAACTATCAAGCAGTTAAATTGACTTCTTGAAATTCCTTCACAGAAGCTCCAAGGGTGTATCTACTGGAGCTTTAATTAATTTACAATCTAGTTTGCGCACTACTAAATCAGTTTCTTTAATAATTTCTCAAAGAAACATTTATTATCTTTCTAATAATTTCAAAAGAAGGAATCAGAAATGGGTCATTTTGACCTGTCTGGTAGTTTTAGTGTTAAGATCATTCGTTATCTACCTTTGTCTCCAGACAAGAAGAAAATGATTGAATATTCATCGGATCAACGTCGTCCCTGAAGGGTTAATCAATATTTACGCATTCCGTCGGGTGTCCGATTCCGCGGTGTTTAGTTGAAAACGGTTTCCCACGAAGCAGTAAATATCCGCACGTTGACAGACTTTATTACTTCATTCTGAACGGAATGGATAACATTGCGGTTCAGCGAAACTTGTAAAAATAATACCGAATTCATTAAGAGACTCCAATTAACTACAGGGCGCAAAAAGAGCGTAGTAATCTTTTTCATACCGTACAGAGTTTCTTGCGCCTTAAGGGAACGGTACAAATTCAAGCGACACTCGGTTTAATTGAATCAAATTGAATCCTCCGAAAAAACTTCGGTCGACCACAAAACCGCAATAGAATGGACAAACTTTCTCCTAGGTTGTGTAATACACAGTTATCCCCGATATTCCGTGCATACATGTGATTGTCGACTCGCTTCGATCTAACGATCACCGGGATCATTGAGCTGCGCGATTCGGTTTCGTCCTCTAAAACTCTTCCGATCGAAATCCGATGAACCGTCGTAAATACCCAGAAACAGGACCAAAGACGGAATCGGTGAAAGACATATCAAGGTGTCGAAAAGAAAAAAACATAAAAATAGAGCATTTTATTGTTTCAGTCACAGATGTTTATTCTAGTAATATCTTTCACGTCGTTGTCGTCGGTTGGGGGGCGAAGGGTTGCGAAAAAAGAAACATATCTGCGAGAAACATCGATGAGCTTGCGAGGAAAGCTGGGGGGGTGGTTCGGGTGTAGAATTGTTCCACGTTTGTACATTACATTTCAATTATTTATAGCGGCGCTTTAGTTTCCCCGCGTGACGCGGCGCGCTCCGTGTTCGACGGACGCGGGGCACTCGGCGCGCCGGAATTGCACGTGAACTTTTGATTCATCGTTTCCTGGGGCGGAACGGCGGTTGAAACGGGCGAAGGGGGGAACGTGGAGGCGTAGAATTCCTGCGTCGCCGCGAATTTTCTCTACGCCCGATCATACGAGCGATTAATCGTTCGCCGTGGCAAGACTACCGGACAAAATGGCTGCCGAAATTCGAGACACAAAGTGTGAAAGAACCACGCGACCGAACAGGGTAAACGCGGTTTCGTTCGGTCGTTGGAACACGCGGCTAACCCTGCTGCGTTCTTTGAATATTTTTTCACGTTTTCGTTTCGCTAGCACGTTTCCTCTGATTTCTCATGCAGTTCAGTCGCGTTCTGATTTCGTCGGGAATAGTTTCAAATTGGAGAACAGCGTGTGAAAATTATCGTTAGACAGTTTGATCTTATTGTTTTAGTAATATTTCGAAATTGCAGTGACACTGAGGACCGTAGCAGGGTTAACCGCCCCTGTGAACGCTCGGGGACGAAATAAATAAGAATTAGACGCACGCAATTATAATACTTTACAAATCGATCGCGGCTACGGCGGTGACCAGCGTCACGATCCGAAGATTCGCCGTCGGCCGGTCTCCGAGTATCTGGTCGGTCGAAAAGTCTTGCTTTCGTTTTTATGTGTTCGACGAGCTTTCCATTTCGTCGACACTTTGCCCACTGAAAAGTTAATTGGGATGTTTGTCTGGTTTGCGTTTACCCTTAAATGACAGCAATTTCTCGGTTGTGATTTTCATGTTTCTTGTGAGATGGACGATTGAGTTTCATTTGAAAATAAAGCATGTAGAGCGGCAGGAATGTCTTGTCGCGTGTATTGATAATACTTTTGAATATGTAGTAACAAATTATTGGACGAAAATGGAAACGAGAAATTTCGTATGCGGTCTTTTAAGTGTTCAAAGGAAGTTGAAAGATTTTCTTTTAACCCTCATGTTCCGTTTGTATGCCAGTAGCATTAGTAGTCTTCCAAGTTAACTCAAAAAGTGGACAGCAGATCTTGTATACTTGTGGAATTTGCAAGAAATGAACAAAATTTCCCGGGAAATATATATTCACACAAAAATCTACAATACAACGACAAGTCGTAGCTGCGTTAAAGTATACTGAACGGTGCACAAAGGTTAAATAATCCGGAAGAAGTTGTGGGTTAATATACTCGAGGCAACTGGTTTACGATTCTGACAATGGTTTCCATTAAAAGATTTATTAGAAATTAATCAGCTGATCACAGATTTTTAAAGGACTATTAAACAGCCGGCGGCGGTTGAAGCGTTCAATTAAAATCGATTAACACGTTCGCTGCCGAGACAGTTCCATTGTTTACAGTTATCTAACATACACGTTACAATTCTGTCACGCCGATCCATCGAATACGCGGAAGGAACCACGGCTGACCACGAAATACCGCGATCCGATCGAAAACAATCTACGCGTACTTCTAAATGTATATTCCGTGTGACACTGGAACACGGCATCGGCAGTCAACGTGTTAACCGGGGCGTCGCTAATGTGGTCCGACAAATTTTCACTTTCCAACACAATCCATTTATTCGGGGCACGCACGGGGACGAGAAGACTTTTCGGCCAGCCCGATACAAATTAAATACACATTGATAGCTACGATTAGGAAGTGGTATCACTGTCAGCTTACTCGCGCTGAGCCACCGGTTGCTGTTCGACGAGCGAACGGCTCGGTCCGACGACCGTCCGACGGGTTTTACGACCGTTCATCCGGCTCGAGGAATCCGTTGCGACCGTTTCGTAAACGTCTCCGACGTTCTCCGTTCCGTTTTCCGGCGTCTTCCGTCGACCATTCGAGCGACAATCGAAGAATCGCGGTCCGTCGTTCGATTCCTCGAGGCCCGTCCGACCCGTCGCACACCCGACCGACGTCGAATCGTCCTCTCTCTTACTCTCGTGCTCGTCTCGCGACACGGCGAGCGCAGTTAAGGCAAAAGGGAAGAAGAATTCGGCAAAACGAGAAAAATGGCACACGGCGAGCGTGCCGTAGTACGGAGCCGCAAGAATCTTTCTCTCCCTCTCTCTCCGGCTTTTCCTCCTTCCCATTACTCGGCTTCAGAGAGCAAACGGGAAAGAGAAAAAGAAGGAGGCGAGATCGAATCGTTTCGCGTTAGCACAATAATCCCTACAATAAAACGAACCGCGGGCTCGAACGATCGAGCCGCGGAACGGTCTCCAGAGAAGTACGGGAAAACACGGCACGGTATTTACAAACAACTGACTTTTAAGCTATCTATCGACTCACTGACTTCGCTGGCAATATACAGACACCGGGACGCTAAAGTCTTCATTTTTTAATCCCATTCACACGGGAAAGCACCTTAAATATACATACATATTTATATATATATTTCCACTGGAATTTTCGGTCTATTTACAAAACACTACTCCCCTCCGTACACACTCGATATATCCGGTCGATGTACAATGTATACATTATAGAAATCCTCGCTCGTATTTACACACTCTATCAGCCACGTATTGCACCAACGTAGTGGGAATGCACTGTAACACCGGAGGGGTGGCGGCTCGCGCCGCTCCGTCTCCTTTTGCGCGACTCGTCGTCGTCGGATTCGCGACGCCCACGCGATGCGAGCCAGAAAAGAAACCGTGCGCGCTCCCGCGGCACGTAACGCTGCACGCGCGGAACAACAGGACACCTACGGGCGCGAACGCACACTCGTACACGCAAACCGCACGCGCACACTAATGCACGAACCACTTCTCTAGACACCGAAGTAAAGACAATCCGTTGAAACAGTTCATATGTGCACGGAGACGGTGCGCGATCCGTTCGACGTCCTGTTGTTGTGCTGCCGTCGGACGGGTGGCGGCTGCCTCGTCCTCTGCGTGGTCCTCTGGTTGTTGGGCACGTCGGGCAACGCGAACCGCAGCTTCTCCCAGAACAGCTTGTCGCCCCATTGCAAGTACGTGTTGGTCTTCAAGTATAGCCTGATGTCCGGGTCCAGGTCCCTCTGATGAACGTCGCCCACCAGGACCAGGATCAGCCTGCGCCTCCTGTCGCGCAGCACCTGGTGGTGCGCGGACTTGAAGTCGAAACGGCACCACTCGGACTTGATGAAGTTCTCCGAGAGCACCATGATCGTTCGCCTCGAAGATTCCACTGCCTGCACGATGGTGTCCGCTATGAAGCTACCGACGGGAAAATCCCTGTAGTGCAGGCAGAGCTTGTAGGACGGGTTTCCCATCTCCAGGACGGGCGCCAGTTCCTCGGCAACGAACGCTTCGTCCTTGGAACTGTAGCTGACGAAAGCGTCGAACAGCTTGTCCCGGTCGTCCCTGTCTACCTCGTGGTTCCTGTAGAATATCCGCACGCCGAAACGCGAGTGGAACCACACGCGCAACTCTTGCCGGAACACGAAGCCGAGCATGCAGACCAGCATGACCAGCAGAGAGCCGACCAGGGTCGCGACCAGCAGCGGCAGGTAGTCCTGCAGGACCTGTTTCTCGATGATGGTCTTCGTGTAGTTCCGGTGCGCGTCGTTATCGATACTCGCCGCACCCGAGCACACCTCTGTCTCGTTGATCTTCTCCTTCTCACCGGTCACCAGGAAACCAAACTCGTTGTCCGCGAACACCTCGTCACCGAACGCCTCGAACTCTGTCACGTTGTACACGCACCGCAACGAAGACGCGTCCGTCACCTGCACGCTCGGCTCGCGGATCCACTCGCGGTAACTCTGCAGATAGTCGCACTCGCAGGACCACGGGTTCCCGGACAGGCTGACTTCGATCGAACCGGGCAACGTCCACACGGCCAGGGTCGTCAGCCGGTTGTTCTCCAACCGGAGCACGCGTAACGATCTCAGCGACGCGAACGTGTCGTTCCCGATGGAAACTATCTTGTTCCTTTGGAGGTAGAGCTGTTTGAGCGCGTCCAGTCCCTCGAACTCGTGTCCCCGTAGCTCCCTGATCCGGTTGTCTTGAAGATGGAGGTCCTCCAGGTCCCTGAGACCGTTGAACGAACGGTTCTGCACGATCTCGATGTTGGATGAGTTTAGGAAGAGAACTTTGAGCTTCTTGCGGCCGATGAACGCGTGGCTGGAGACCAGCCTCAGATCGTTCCCGTCCAGGTAGAGTCTGGTCGCGTCCATGGGTATCTGTTCGGGCAGCTTGCTCACGTGGCCGCCGTTAGAGCAGTCGACCACGTTCGCGGACCACGACTGATCGTGGTAGCACGTGCAGTTCAGCGGGCAGGTCATCTCGCAGTCGCACGCGTCGAAGTCGCAGCAGTGGCACAGAGCGAAACAATGGGTGTCGTACTTGCAGAGGAACTGCGAGTGAGACGCCTCGACCAGCGGCACGAACGCGTGCTCGCGGTCATAGAGCAGCTCGCAGTAGATGCTCTCCAAGTCCATCACTCTCGGCTGCACTCTGCTCTGGTTCTGCCTGTTTACTCGTTGTAACCATTCCATGGTGCAGTCGCACAGGTACTGATTGTCACCGATGTAAAACTCGGGCAAAGGTTTGTCCGGTGGTACCGCGCTGATCCTCAAAGCGTACGGTTCCAGGTTCCTGATGTGGTTCCCCTTGAGATCCACGCGAGTCAGGTTAGGCTTCTTGAAGAACGAGTAGCTCTGAACCTTGGATATCTGGTTGTCGTTCAGATAGAGCCGTTCCACGCTCATCGGTATCGCGTTCCCGGTGATCTCGGTGAGCTTGTTCTCGCTGGCGTCGAAGGTGCTTAGCTGCAGCTGGCTCTCGATCTCGAAATAGTTGCCCAGCTCCCGTATCTCGTTCGAGTGGATATCGAGCCATTGGAGACCGGTCGGTATCATCGCGTAGTCGAACCATTTCAATTTGTTGTCGCTGACGTTCAGCCAGACCAGGTTCGGCAGATTGGTGAACAGCCCGGCGATGTCGGTCAGTTGGTTCCCGTCCAGCCGTATCGCTTGCAGATTCAGGTTCTCGTCGAAGGTGCCCGGTTCGATGTACTGTATCCGGTTCATCGCGAGATTCAATATCTTCAGCTCTTTGATACGATCGAACACGCCCTTGGTCAGGTTCCCGATGTGGTTTTCGGTGAGCCGCAGCCCGTAGAGCTGCGCCACGTGGTCGAACGTGCCGGTCGGTATCTCCGAGATGAGGTTCTCGCCGAGGTCGAGGGTACGCAGCAGGGGTGTGGCTTTCAGCGCGTCCGGCACCGATTTCAGTTGGTTACGGTTCAGGTGGAACTCCTGAAGGGAGGAAGCGTTCCTCAGGGAGCTCGGGTGGATCGTGTGCAGCCGGTTGTTGTCCAGCGAGAGGAGGTTCAGCACGTAGAGGCCGCTGAGCGTGGTCGCGTCGATAACGGTCAGCAGATTATCGCTGAGCAGCAACGTGTGTAGATTATAGAGCGCGGAGAACGTGTTCTCCGGCAGGCTTTCGAGCAGATTCTCCTGCAGCCGGAGTATCTGCAGGCTGTAGAGGTCGCGGAACACCGTCGGATCCAAACGGCCGATACGATTGTTCGAGAGATCGAGCACCACCAGACGTACCAAACCACCGAACGTAGCCGCGTTCACCCACTCGGCGGTCAGCTCGTTGTGAGCTAGATCAAGCACCAACAATTGCGTCAGTTCACTGAACAAACCCGGAGGCAACACGTTCAACGTGTTGTTCCTCAAGTGAATCTCCTGTATGCTCCTCGCGTCGCTGAACAATTCCGGCGGCAGGCTGGCGAGCCGGTTGTCCGCGAGCCTCAAGATGGCCAACGATGAGAGTCCCTCGAACGCGCGGTCCGCCATGAAGCTGATGGCGTTGCAACGCAGGTCCAAGCTGTGTAGCCTGGTTAGTCCGGAGAACGCGGCGCTCGGCAACGATTCAACGCTGTTGTTGCTCAAGTCCAGCTCTTTCAGGTTCGACAGGCACCTGGCTACCCCGTTGAACCGGAAGCTGGTCACTTCCCTGAGCCGATTACGCGTCAGGTTCAGTATCTCTAGGTTAACCAGGGGGCACAGTGTGCCCTCCGGTATGCTCCACATATTGTTCTCCCCTAAATCGAGCTTTTCCAGTTGTCTAAGCTCGTCGGTGAACGCCCCAGCGGACACGTCCAACGCCATCGCCGACCAGTCGGTGTTGTGCGTTCTGACGGTCAGATTCCTGAGCTCCTTCAACCCCTTGAACGCGTCGTCGGACAGATTGCCGATCTTGCAATACTCGATCACCAGCTCCCGGAGCTCGACCAGCGGCCTGAAGCTGCCCGCGCTCAGCGAGCTCTGGTAGAACAACGCGTCGCTGCATTCGAGCCGCAAGCGGACCGTGTGCTGGGGCTGTATCACGCTAAAGTTCGTGTTCTCCAGCTCGCTGTTGATCGTACGCAGGCGGCAGACCAGCGATACGTCGTCCTCGGTGTCGCCGGTCGCTACCCACTTGCACTCGTCCGGCGCTTTGTACCTCAACGCTTTGCTGAGGGACGCGCCGAGGACACCGAATATTGTGCCCAGTAATATGGCGAGGAAGGCAGGACTGCCCCGCATCTTTCCGCCCTTCTGCCTTTCTCTCTAGCTTCTTTACTTTCCTTCCCTTTCCTTCGTGCTCTCTCTCCCGCGCTCTCTCCTTCTTTCTCTTTCTCTCTAACTTTCTCTCTAGTTCTATCCCGGTGTCTCAATCTCCCATCAAATCCCGTTCCGATGTCCCTATCCAGCAGATCGCCGGGGGTCTCCTATCTGTCGCGGAACCGGCCACGATCCATTTAAATCCTTGGCTACCACTTGGACAGCGATCTCCTTTACCTCACGTCGTCCATGTCACTGGTATCCCCTCGGAGGCCTCGGTTCTCATCTCCCGGTCCTCTCGCGGGCAACGCGAATCCCGTAACCGCCACCCGGTCAACGTACCCCCCCGATATCCTTCTTCCGGCGATCTCTTCTCTCGGCCAGCTAAGCTCTCCTATAATCCTGGAGATTTCATCCTCGGGACACAGGCTACTCCCGAACAAGATCGCCACACACACACATACACACACAGACACACACGATCACGGTGTGCGACGAGGAAAGCTCGCGAACGCGCGCGCGCGCGCGCGAGAGAGCGACCGTATGGGTTCACCGACCTCCCAAGATTATCAATATGTACATATACGTATGTAACTCTGCCTATGTGTGCATGTGCACGCGTATACACACATACACATACGTATACACCTATATATACCGAGCGTATGCATATATACGTATAAATATCTCTACGGTACCGGGTGTATTGCGTGCGAGCGAGCGAACGCGCGCGCGTGCGTGCGTCAGTGCGTTAGTGCGTGCGTTCGTGGGTGCGTGTGTAGTACAGGCGACGGAGAAAAATCCCAAGGAACGGCGAAAAGTCACGGGCGCTTTTAATATACACGTATATACGGCTCCGGTAAGACCCACGGTTCTCCGAGGACTGGTTGGCAAGTTGTAAGGCCCGAACTGGCACCGCTACCCTCGCCCCTCCGCCCACCGGTCGCCGGCCTCTCCTCGCCGCGCCTCGCGTCCCAGTCGTCCTTCCTTCCCCCACTCGGGGCCCGGTTCTCTCGTTCGTCGTCGTCGTCCTCCGTGGCCGGGGCCCGACGTTCTGGCAAGCCTATAAAAACAAGACAGGTACACTCTCCGGGCCCTTACAGTGGCTCCTCAGCATCTGCAGCCTCCATCCACCACGTTCCCGTGTCTTTCTCTCCGTCCTCCT